TTTTAAAATGACTTGATATTGCTCATTTGAGACTCCCTGAAATGACAATTTATCATTAAGTAAAGGAATTTAAAACAGCTTTGGTATTTTCTTAGAAATAACTGCATCTTTTCAGCATTAAATTTTTGATCCCCTTCTGTAGATGGTGGTTTGGGTTTTGACCTTGCTCCCCACACCTACAATACAGATAGCTCTCCTTTCCTATTTCAGAGCAGATCATCTCACATGCAAAGCAAAGAAGCAGGATTTATGCTGGTTAATGTTTTTAGCCCTTTTTATTGTTGAGCAGCATAGCCTGAGTCATGTACGGTCTCTCAATATGAATGCTTTGCAGTTTGAAAAGCAGAAAGAATGCATTTTAGATGAAGTGTTTTTAAAAATTAGTGAAGTGAGCTAAGCATTTAGCATAGTTGCTATTTTTAGTATACTGTTCTGGGTAGGCAGAAGGAAGAAAGAAGAGAAAGGTGCTAGATATTGGTAGGACTTAAAGAATTCTAGTATACTTTGGTAAAAAAATGAAAAACTCATCAGGGGCAGGCACTTGGACACCAGCATACTATGTCAGAGTGACTATGGGCCCCAGTCACGCTCTGGATTCAAGCTTCCTGATAATAGTGATAGCTCAAGTAGGTGAGTCCCTGCCACCAACATGGGAAACCTGGATTGGGTTCCTGGCTCCTGGCTTCAATGTGGGCCTAACATTTGCCATTGCAGGTATTTGGGAAGTGAACTAGCAAGTGGGAGTCTCTCTCTCCCTCTCCCTCTCCCTCTCCCTCTCCCTCTCCCTCTCCCTCTCCCTCTCCCTCTCCCTCTCCCTCTCTCTCTCTTTTCCCCCAACCCCCGTCTCTCTTTACCTTGCAGATAAATAAATAAATAAATAAAAGTTAAAGTTTCTGTTAAAAAAAACTTTTTAAATAAAAACGTACTAGTCTGTATTTGTTTAGGAAAAATACCCTGATTTTTGGTATCTTAATAACTGTTTTCACTGAGGTGGATTACCTTTTAATTAAATTCTCCTATGAACATAAGGAAGTATGTAGCTTGTTTTAAAATCAGAAAAAAAGAAGAAAAGAAAAACCAGGTAAAGCTCGTGTGGCTGTGGGAGATGAGGAGAGAGAAGGCAATTCCTGCCAGGGCCGTTGCCCTCGTAAATGAACGTGGAAGCCGGCAGCCCTCAGCTCTAAGCCAGAAAAACAGCAAGCAAGCCAGTGTTCTCGTGAAAAGAATCCCACCCTCCCATATTAATTCGATCAAAACAAAACAAAACAAACCATTCCCTTACTGTCAGAATAGTCACTGTAAGAAAAGTACTTGCAAACCTGGGTTTAAAAGGCTCATCGACATACAACCTGTCACGGTGAAAGAGCCTCGTAACCTGGGGAGATATCCATTCTGTAATGTAAACATGTATTGTTTCAAAAGAAAACAAATTATGCTGATTAATGGTCAGTTTTATGTAACATCATTGTATTTTACTAGAGATAATAAAATTTAACATCTTTAACTTATGGGATTCTTCTCCCAAATCTTTAAATGACCAGGAAAGTGAATGCATCTGTAGTGTAGGCGTTGTACTTGTGATTTGGATTATGATGTGTGATATGTTTTCTCAAAACCAAAAAAACCTAAATATATCTTCATTAAGTAAAAATCTTAAAAATTGCTGATTTAATTTTAGAGAATTAGCATGTTAGCATGTATATCTGGTAAAAGGTAAGTCAAGATGGTATCTAAGATATACTTTCTTATATTTAAAGCTGGAGATGCCATATGTATCTATTTAGGTGTTTGTCTAAACTATAGGCATTTGAAGGGCATTCAGAATACTATAATAAACTAAAACATTAGTTCAGTTACAACTGTGTCTCTTAAAATCCTCCCAAATAAATCCTGCTCAGAATCATGTCTGCCTTGTGGAAAAATACTTAAAATAATCCAGTTACTAAGACTTTGAGCTGAATTTGTTTTTACCAGAGAGAAATTTGTTTTCTGAAATATAATACTTATTCAGTAATTAGCTATATGAATTCTATATAAAGTTCATTTCTGCTTTCTTCAAACTATGTTGGAGATTATTAGAATAATTTCCCAATTGTGTATTGGAAACTTCCCATTGAACAGAAATTGCTTTACAAAATTAGCATGTTTTCTGCTGTCTATACTTGAACTCTAAACAGGGATTGAAAAAAAAAAAGAAAAAGAGGAGGGGGCATAATAGCTTTTGTTCTTAGCAACTCCTCCTGGAAAAAATCATCACCACTCTCAGTTTGATTTGTTTCATTTAATTCTTGCCACATATACTTCTTAGGTCCTTACATGTTTTATATTGAAGTAATCAGTGTTGAGGTTTTTCTGTTCATTTAGATTATTTAAGCTTTCTGATCTGTGCTTAGTACTGAACTGTTTATTGGAGCCATACTATTCAATAACTAAAGCATATGAAATTTACTGCGTTTTGTATTGATTTAATATTAATGTTAATCTAAAATCTTTGGGTGCAATGTGTCACATCTGTTTTGTATTCTTCTGTTTAAAAGAAGTGGCAGTACGGTATTTGGAGGAATATTTATTATCTGAGTGTTTTTCTTTGCAACAGTTCCTCTCAGTCTATTGAGAATTATAACCTCCAAGAGACAGTGAATCACCCAGCAGATTCTCAGGTACTCAACAGCTAAAGACCATAGTTAATTAGAATTTTTATTTCTCATTTAAATTCCCTTTGCTTAAAGAGTTGTAACTGTGGAGCCTTCTGGAAATGATAGAAAATAAATTTCCAGTGAGCTTTAAAACAAACATTTTCTGTGAAGAATAGGTCCACCTTCTGCACTACGCAGATGCTTTGGTTTTTCAGAAAAGACTTTTTTAGATTGTGATTTGACCGTTGTGTTGCAAATGGAATTTTCCATGACTGGTGATTGAATATTCATATCCTGTGGTAGCGTTTCTTAACCTTTTTTGGGGTCATGGATTTCTTTAAGTAATCAATGAAAGTTATAACTCTCTTTCCCAGGGGGGAAAATGCATCAACACAAACATTTTGCATGTAGTTTTAATCAATCCCGCCTCTCCCTGCTCAGGAGTCCAAGGGCTCGGGGTTAGGAACTACTGCCATAATGGAACTGAAAGATCTTCTAGTATGTGAACTTTAGCACCATATTATTATTATTTTTTAGCATCATGTTATTATGATACACTGAATTTCTTCAAGCATTATTTAATATTACATTTCCTCCTTGATCATTGTATAGTGGAAGATACCTATAATCTAAATCTTATTTTGTAGAAAAAGTACAATTATCTTTTAATTTTAAAATTTGTCTCTGAAACTATAGAACATATTTGACCTTTATGTGCTTTAGGTCCTACCTTGGATTCTTAAGAAAACAAAACTCACTTCAACTTTGAATGAGAGGTGCAGACAATGGAGAGAAATATGAGTTCTTATGGATGTGTTGTTTAAGAAAGTAATTCTTCTTTAGAAAAAAATTTTATTTGGCAGAAAAACCTAGGTTCTCATTTTAATGAGAGGTTGTGAAGCTATTTAGGAGTTACCTGGTTTTTTATGGGTAAAGAGGAATCTGTTAGGTTTACAGTTCAAATCCAGCTCAGTTGCTTACCCAGCTGTGTGACATTGGGCCCATTACTTAAGTATAAATTTGAACCTAGTCCTTTCAATGAGATAACATCCATAAAGTGCTTGGTTTTGTGCTTTGAATATAATAGATATTCAGTCATCTCTTAAAGTATCATGAGGATGGTGTTGATGAGAAACAAGATGAGTAGTTTTGCTTTTCAAATGTAATGTTCCCTTTTTTTTTTTTTCATAAAATTTAAGATAGATCTTAGTGGCAAACAGATGAGTCTTCACATTCTCCAGAATACTTTTCTCAAATCTTAATGGTTTATAATTGTAATCAGATTTCAATATAGAGTTCTCTAAAGATGGGGATGGAAAGTAATTTTTCCACTGTTTATTTCTCAGTATTCAATTGTTTTAATGGTACAAGACATTAAAAGTTATTCATTGAATTTGCCTCATGTAATTGAAGTATTGGAGCAGAAAAAGGGAGAGATTGTTAAAAGTGGATTAAAAAGTAAACATGAACTGCTTCTGCTTTTGATTTTTGACACCCAAACGGTCACATGGTACAGAGCCATGCGTGTTCTGTATACTTAAGGTAGATGATGGTTTTTTTTGCATATTAAAAAGAACTATAATTTGTTAATGTTTGATAAATTATACAAACGTCCACCAACATAAAAATATCAGCTGTAATAGGATGTTCCCATTGCGGATTATCAAGTATTTGGAATCAAAGAAGAAAGGAAGATTTACATGATGCTTTGGTTATGTTAATGAGGTAATGAAGTAGTTCTGCATCTACCTGAATTGAAAGGCTTCAAGTTCATTGGAAAGAGGTGGGATGACTTCTTGTCTGATCCCTTTCTTTTCATGTTGTGGGTGTTAGTCATGCCCAGGTAATAATAATAGTTTATGGCAGTGTTTCATATGCATGTGTTCTGTTTGTCTGTATAAGCACATATCCATCCATACTTATGTCTGTATGCTTTCCAAGATACACTAGAAGGATTAATCCAGATAAGAATCATAAATGTCAGTAATGGATTATAAACACAGGAGAGGCTAAGTACAAGTATAGTCTGAAATTTTTTTGTTGGCATCTGGGAGAGTATTCTTTGTTTTCATCTAGAAACCGTCTTTTGTTACGAGTGATAGAGACAACTTTTGTTACCATTCAGATAAAACAACAGGTTGAATTCACCAGAGGTTTAAATTTGTGTGTTTCCTCTGTGAGGAAAACAAATGTTGCATAATCACTTTTTATTAATGAAATATTACATGTGGTAGATATCTTTGAGGTATGAAGAGGGCAACTTGCCTTGCTGTTTTTTTCTTTGGATAGCTAGTTTCATTCATTTATTTTCTTTGACCAGGCCAAAACTTGGGAAATGATATTCCCCCTTCTCTTTCTTCTCAGTATCGTGAGTGAAGCAGGAGCCTCCATCTACAGTGTCAGCCCTGAAGCAAACAAAGAGATGCCAGGGCTGGACCCTAATTTGAGAAGTGCAGGTAAGAAATGATGGGCCATCACAAAAGTATGTAACTTTGTATTCTGAACTTGCACATATGCTGAGCTAAATATTTTAAATATTCAACAATATTTAAAAGGTAAACAGCGTATTAGAAAGAAAGTGCTTGATTGCACTAATAACTGCAACTATAGAAAAGAAGAGGAAGAATACTATCCTGTTGTTAAAGAACACTGTAAGTATTCTAGAGTATAGTGAAAAATTAACCAGAAAGGTCTTTAGTAAAAATAAGTACAAGAGAGTTTAATAATAGATAATGAAGTACTTTAAGATCTTTTATTGGATTCATTTTATCTTTCTTTTATTATAGAATATTTATTATCAGTCTTCTGTTGTTAAGAAGTAATATATTAACATACAAATATCTGTAGTTTGTAAATGTATGAACATACACAGGCTTTCAAGTTATTGCTAAATATTTGTTAAGTGACTAGGTTTGCCTATTTGCTAAGAGGTTGTCATTTGATAGTGTATTGCTTAAAACAGCCTGCTTTCATTTTGACTGCCTTCAGTTGCTTTGATTTCTGTGCTGTGGGATAGTTAAAATCTTATGTGTGAAGAAATTGGGATACTTTGATACCTCTAGTGAAAGAAATTACTATCATAAGCAAAATATTACATCTGTCCTGAGCATTTTTCCTTGTAGTAGGTGGCCATTTAGACCCCTTTGTTAGGACTGGGCCTTTAGTTTCTTTTCCTCATGTAGTCTTATCAGCTTTCTTGGCTGTTCTTGAAATCTGTTCCTGGAGATACGGATTTGAAACTTTTTCTTTACTCAGAAGCAGAAAGCTTCTTTCAGCATCCAAAAGAGCTTGTAGTTTCTCTTCAGCTGTTAGTTCTGTAACACACTCCCTGTCGTCCTCTCACATCCCAGCTCAGACTCTGGCTGCTCCTCTGAAGCTCTTCCCTCGCTTCCAGGAGGTCTCTACCACCCCACCAAGTGCTCTTTGGTGCTTGCATTGTAATAGTATAGTAATGATATGGGGAGTAGAAACAATAATCATCATGGGGATTGCTACTACTAATCTTTTTTAAGCACTTAGTATATGTGAAACATTGTGATAAATACATTTCCAGGATATTTTTAATTTTACCCTTACAATTGCCATATGAGATGTTTACAGATGGAAACTAAATTTTTTTTTTTAGTTCTTTTTTTTTTAAACTTTTATTTAATGAATATAAATTTCCAAAGTGCGACTTATGGATTACAATGGCTTCCCCCCATACCGTCCTTCCCACCCACAACCCTCCCCTTTCCCACTCCCTCTCCCCTTCCATTCACATCAAGATTCATTTTCGATTATCTTAATATACAGAAGATCAGCTTAGTATACATTAAGTATGGATTTCAACAGTTTGCTCCCACACAGAAACATAAAGTGAAAAATAATAGATGATTTTTTTTTAAATGATGATGAAATCAGAGCAGACCTATTGTCATGTTTAATCCCAGTGAGAGTCAAGTTGGGAATTGATAATTTCTTTTTTTTTTTTTACAGAGGATCAGTTTAGTATGCATTAAGTAAGGATTTCAACAGTTTGCACCCCCATAGAAACACAAAGTGAAATATATTGTTTGAGTACTCGTTATAGCATTAAATCTCAATGTACAGCACATTAAGGATAGAGATCCTACATGAGGAGTAAGTGCACAGTGACTCCTGTTGTTGACTTTACCAATTGACACTCCTGTCTATGGCATCAGTAATCTCCCTATGCTCCAGTCATGAGTTTCCAAGGCTATGGAAGCCCTCTGAGTTCTCCGACTCTTATCTTGTTTAGACAAGGTCATAGTCAAAGTGGAGGTTCTCTCCTCTCTTCAGAGAAAGGTACCTCCTTCTTTGATGACCTGTTCTTTCCACTGGGATCTCACTCACAGAGATCTTTTGCCAGAGTGTCTTGGCTTTCCATGCCTGAAATACTCTCATGAGCTTTTCAGCCAGCTCCGAATGCCTTTAGGGCTGATTCTGAGGCCAGAGTGCTGGCAGATGTCCTAAATAGCAGATGGAAACTAATTCTTAAAGAGAACACACATGTACATATTTGTGTATCTAAATATTTTAATGAAGTGATACTTTATTAAAGATTCATTTTATTTATTTGAATGACAGAGTCACAGAGAGAGGTAGAGAGAGAGAGAGAGGTCTTCCATCTGATGGTTCACTCCCCAGATGGCCACAATAGCTGGAGCAGCACCAGTCTGAATCCAGGAGCCAGGAGCTTCTTCCGGGTCTCCCACCTGGGTACAGGGTCCCAAGCACTTGGGTCATCTTCTACTGCTTTCCCAGGCCACAGCAGAGAGCTGGACTGGAAGAGGAGCAGCCGGGACTCGAACTGGTGCCCATATAGGATGCTGGCACTTCAGGCCAGGGCCTTAACCTGCTATGGTACAGCGCCGGCCCTTCAGACTTCCCAAGTTGGTACTAAAAGAGTGTGTTCTCTGCAGGAATTTGGTTGAGACAGTGGTTGAGATACCCTCATTCCATATGGGTCCCAGCTCCACTTCTGAATCTACTTCCTGTATTGCACACTTTAGGAGACAACAGATGATGACTCAAGTACTTGGGTCCCAGCCACCCCAGTGGAGGACCTGCATTGAGTTCTGGCCTCCTAGCTTTGACCTAGCCTAGCCCGAGCTGTTGTGGGCATTTGGGGAGGGAACCAGTGGTTGGAAAAATCTTTCTTTGTCTCTCTTAGTCTATTTTCTACAATGCGATCTTGGGATTCATCTTTCTCAAGCTGTCTAGGTACCTTATTACTCATTGGATTTCAAGCTTCAGATTTTGTTGTTATCTTCTCTCTCATTCTTTTTGCCCCGGTGGACTTACAACGTTACTTCTATCTTAAGGGATTTCAGAAGGGAGGGAAAAAATAAAAGGTATACTTAATCTTCTATTTTAAATCAGAAATCCATAATAAATTCTTGAATATTATCCATCTGCTACTGATTGATCTATCCAGTTTAAATGACATGGATTATGGTTCAGGAAATGACATCAAGTACCTTTGGAGGTATTTTGAGAAGATTGCACGTGGGTTTAAAATGAGAGGATTGATTGAAAGTCTGTTTAGAAAGTAAAAAAAGAAAGAAAAACAAGTCAAATATAGACTTATGACCTAGCATATACACACACACACATACACACACACACATGGATTGCTAGATCATACACATACTCAAGGATTGCTAGATCATAATTCTATATTTGACCTGCTTCTTTTTTATATATGCCAAAGAATTGGAAAACAGGAATTCAGACTAAATCTTCTATACAAATGCTCATAGTAGTACTGTTCACAGTAGCCAAAACCTGGAAACAACACAAATGTCCATCAGGAGATGAATGAATAAGCAATATGTGATATATCCATATAATAGAATATTAGTTATAGAATGGGTGAAGTACTGTTACATACTACAACGTGGATGAACCTTGAAAACTTTACACTAAGTGAACAAAGCCAGTGACAAAAGACTATATAGGACATGATAGCATTTATGTGAAATGTACGGAATAGGCCAATCTGTAGAAGCAGAAAGTCAATTGGTGATTGCCAGGACTCTGGGGAGAGACATGACTGGAGAGTGACTGCTTAGTGGAACATGCTTGCAGGTTGTCTTTTGGCACAGCGTAAATGTTTTGAACTTGATAGATACGATGGCAGAGCATTGTAAGTAGACTAAGTAGCACTGATCTCTACACTTTAAAATGGTTATATTATGTGAATTTCCCTGCAGTAAAATAACAACACCAACAGTAATTTAGACTTCTTCCACACAGCTGCATAACTGTACTTTTGCTCCTTTGCAGAAGACTGCAGATTTGCTCTCTGGTGAGGGTTAAACAGTGGAAGAGGCGGCATACGAGAGCCAGTGGGGATACCTGCTGACAAAAAGGGCATTCATGAAATACTTCCTGTTGTGGAGACCTTGCAGGAGAATGACCCTTCTGAGCAGATGAGAAGATTCTGACCAACACAAGTGGCAATCCCTAAAGAAACTGAGCTCGGGGCTGGCACCGTGGCTCACTTGGTTAATCCTCTGCCTGCAGCACCGGCGTCCCATGTGGGCGCTGGGTTCTAGTCCTGGTTGCTCCTCTTCCAGTCCAGCTCTCTACTGTGGCCCAGGAGGGCAGTGGAGGATGGCCCAAATGCTTGGGCCCTGCACCCTCATGGGAGACCAGGAGGAAGCACCTGGCTCCTGTCTTTGGATCGGTGCAGTGCTGGCCATTTGACAGGCAGAGTGGACAGTGAGAGAGACAGGGAGAAAGGTCTTCCTTTACCGTTGATTCTCCCCCCAGTGGCCGCTCCGGTGCGCTGTGGCCGGCGCACCGCGCTGATCCGATGGCAGGAGCCAGGTGCTTCTCCTGGTTTTCCATGCGGGTGCAGGGCCCAAGCACTTGGGCCATCCTCCACTGCACTCCCAGGCCATAACAGAGAGCTGGACTGGAAGAGGAGCAACTGGGACAGAATCCAGCACCCCAACTGGGATGAGAACCTGGTTTTCCGGCGCCACAGGCGGAGGATTAGCCTATCGAGCCACGGCGCCGGCCCCACAGACTTTTAAAAGTCTCCTATTTATATCTTCTCTCTCTCTCTTGGCTGAATTGAATCACTAAAATACAGTGGTAAATAATATCAGTGATACAATGAATTGTGGGTGTCATATGTGGGAATAATAGTATTTGGCATACATTTGGACATCATGCATTTTGAAAATATGTAATAGCTGTATTCAGATATAATTTGTATAACATATAATTTGCCCTTTTAACATGAAGAAGTCCATGTTTTTTAGTATAGTCTGAATTGTACAACCATCACCACATCCAATTTTAGAAACCGGTCATCACCTCAAAAAGAAAACTTTGGGCGCCAGCATTGTGGTATATTGGGTAAAGTTGCTGCCTGCAATGCTGGCATCCCATGTGGGTGCCAGTTTGAGTCTTGGCTTCTCCACTTCCAGTCCAGCTCCCTGTTAATGTGCTTGGGAAAGCAATAGAATATGGCCCAAGTTGCTTGGGCCGCTGCACCCACGTGCGAGATGCAGAAGTTGTTCCTGGCTCCTGGCTTCTGTCTGGCCCAAGTCTGGCCATTGCGGCCATTTGGGGAGTGAACCAGCAGATGATGATTCCCTCTCCCCCTCCTGCTCCCCTTCCCCCTCCCTCTCTTCTTCCTCTCCCTCTCTTTAACTCTGCCTTTCAAATAAATAAATCTTAAAAAAAAAAAAAGAAAATCATGCCAATTAGCAGTCAGTTCCATTCTGAACCCTGTTCTGGGTATTTCAAATGAATGGATTCATATCATAAAATTTGTGACTGACTTCTTGCACTAAATACAATGTTTTCAAAGTTCACCTATGCTGTAGCATGTGTTAGGACTTCATTTCTTTTTATTGCCAAATAATACTCTATTATATGGGTATGCAACACTTTATTTATCAGTTGATGGCTGTTAGGGTTGTTTTTATTTTTTATGCCATATGCATGATGCTGTGAACATTCATATATAAGATTTTATATGGACATATGCTTACATTTCTCTTGTGTGTTTATCCAGAAGTCAAAATTAAAGTGCACTTGGTAACTTTGTTTACAGTTTCCACAGATTTTTTTCACCATTCATTCTCTGCCTCTTTCACTGTTTCTTCCTTTTCTTCTCTGTCTCCAAATGTAGATGTTCCCCATATCCTCAGGCTTCAGCTCTTACTCTCTTAATTCTCTTTATCAGCAATCCATTAGACTTCCCTCTTCCTGAGCCATTTCTCTCTCTCTCATTTCTGAGAAGCTGCTGTCAGCCTGGCCATTCTTGACCCAGAGCTCTCCATCATCACTGTCTATTCCATGCTTCTTCTTTAGTGATGCTGCCAGCACCATCTTCTTCCTGAAGCCTGAACATGTAACTTTAGGATTCTACCCCAAAAGTTGTTCATTTATCTCTCCCCTTGCCTCCTGTGCCTTCCACGCTAGGCTTTTTACGCTATGAACATCTAACAGAAGAGTCATGATTCTAGAGACGTTAGAGCCCCTCTCAAGGTTGTTTACTGGGGACACTATTACTACTCCAGAGACTCAGAATTTACAGTACAATTGTTATTGTTAGCTTAGAATTAACACATGTGCCACTTAGAAATCTTCATTTCCACTCCACTGTTTGGTTGCACTTAATAATATAAGGTAAAAGGTAATAGTTCACTAGCAGTTGACTATTTTAAAGGGAGCCAGGTAAAAAATAGTTTAAAATTTTTCTGTATATGCTAAATATGAGTATCCAAACTCACCAAATTATACAGCTTCTAAACTGTTTCTAAGTTTAGATTTTCAAAATGTGTGTTTTCTGTACGGGTCGATTTCAGGATTTACTCACTATTGACATATTTTTTATTGAATTTCTAATACTGCTTTCCTACACAGTAAATGTTCTGATTCTTTTTTGGAGCAGGTTGGGGCAGGTGAGAAGAGGTATCTTCATTCACTGGTTCATACTGCAAATGCCCTCAGCAGCAAGGGCAAGACCAATTCAAAGCCAGGATCCTGGAACTCCGTCTGGGTCTCCCACATGGGTGACAGACACCCAAATACTTAGGCTATCACCTGTTTCCTCCCAGGTTGTGCATTAGCAGGGGCTGGAATTGGAAGTGGAGCCAGAACTTGAGCCCAGGGATTCCAGTATGGGATGCAGGCATCCTAAATGTTTTCTTAACTGCTGGGCCATACACCCCTCCATGATGCCTGAATTGTTAGTTTAGTTTACTACTGTGGTTTTTAACTCTGAAAATACTTTGGCAGTGTTTAAATTGTTTGAAAATCATAATTTGTTAATTTAAAGGCAAGTATAAAGAATATTTGCATTAGAGAAATTCAAGCACATTGCTGACACTTTTTTCAATTCATAATTATACACTAATACTGGTTATCAGAGGAAAATGTTTCACCTATAACCTGAGATCTTGTACTAATTAACCTGTCGTGATTTTTGATAAAAAAGGTGTATCTGAAAGCCTTAAAATTGTCAGTCTCTTCTCTGCAAGAGATAAACAGATTGTCTGACACCAACTTATTGTTCTTCAAGCTTGCTTGGCAGGCTGCCACTATCATTATATGTTAGACATAATAATAAAGGATATGGGGGCCGGAGCTGTGGCAAGCAGGTAAAGCCGCCGCCTGCAGTGCCGGCATCCCATATGGGCGCCAGCTCAAGTCCTGGCTGCTCTGCTTCCTCTCCAGCTCTCTGCTATGGCCTTGGAAAGCAGTAGAAAATGTCCCAGGTGCTTGGGCCCCTGCACTCGTGTGGGAAACCCAGAAGTTCTTGGCTCCTGGCTTCGGATTGGCACAACTCTGGCCATTGTGGCCAATTGATGAGTGAACCAGTGAATGGAAAACCTTTCTCTCTCTCTCTCTCTCTCTCTCTCTCTCTCTCTCTCTCTCTGCCTCCCTTCTCTATATAACTCTTTCAAATAAATAAATAAATCTTTAAAAAATAATAAAGGAATGAGAAAGACATGAATGTTCATGCAGTGTTCACAGTGAATCTTATCTCTGGTGAGAGAGGTGGCAAAGATCAGTGATCCAATCATCCCGTCCAAAAGGTGGCTTCTGTTGCTGCCTTAAACATTTAACAGAGTTTCCCAACCTATGTGAGTAGGTGACACTGATTAGATTTCTTTTGTTTACAAAATGGATGCTGTTCATATGTAAGGACTCAATGTAAGTTATTTCAAGGTGGGGAGAACTACCATCAGACATTTCTGTAAGTCATAATGAAGATCTTTTTTCTAACTAAATCTAACTTGCAAACTAAATTAGATATGAAATTATAGTAATATTTGGTTAAAGGGGCCAGTGCCATGGCACAGTAGGTTAATCCTCCGCCTGCAGCACCGGCATCCCATATGGGCACCAGGTTCTAGTCCCGGTTGTTCCTCTTCCAATCCAGCTCTCTGCTGTGGCCTGGGAAAGCAGTAGAAGATGGCCCAGGTCCTTGGGCCCCTGAACCCACATGGGAGACCTGGAGGAAGCTTCTGGCTCCTGGATTCAGGTCAGCGTAGCTCCAGCTGTTGCAGCCATTTGAGGGGTGAACCAACGGTAGAAATATCTCTCCATCTCTCCCTCTCACTGTCTTAACTCTACCTCTCAAATAAATAACTTTTTAAAAAATCTTTAAAAAATATTTGGTTAAAAAATTGATGTTAGTAATTTGTGGCCAAGTAAAATTGTGCACATATAAAGGAGTGTTCGGAGTTAATCCTGAAATCTCTTGAATATGGATTGTGATGGTCAAGAAAGGGATGCGATTGGAGTCATATGAGCATTAAGAGGCAACAAGTGAGACTCGACAGCCCCTCCCAGTACCATCTTGCGATGTGTGCTTACTGACCAGCTGACCTCAGTCTCCAGCTATATTGTGATTCCATCAGTTATTCATTATTAGTGGGATGTAGCCTCAGTAAGCATATTTGATTATAAATTTATTTTTTTAAAGATTTACTTATTTATTTGAAAGAGTTACACAGAGAGAGGAGAGGCAGAAAAAGAGAGATGTCTTCTATCCAGTGGTTCACAACCCATTGGCTGCAATGACCAGAGCTGTGCCGATCCGAAGCCAGGAGCTAGGAGCTTCTTCCGGGTCTCCCACGTGGGTGCAGGGGCCCAAGGACCTGGGCCATCTTCTACTGCTTTCCCAGGCCGTAGCAGGGAGCTGGATCAGAAGCAGAGCAGCCAGGTCTCGAACCGGTTCCATGTGGGATGCCAGCTCTTCAGGCCAAGGCGTTAACCCACTGTGCCACAGCACCGGCCCCTGATTATAAATTTAAATCATTTATAATAATGCAGGCTTATTTTAGTAGAGCAAAGTTCTGCGTGCTTTTTAAAGTAGAGCCTACACTATAATGCTCTATGTAAAGAATGAACAGATAATTGTATAAATATAGGGACTGGTTGTTTCATTCATTTTTCTAAATCTAAACCCTATTTGTGCTCAGGAATTTTAAGGAGTTCGAATCATATAATTAATCCTGAAATTTTGCAGTCTCTTTTTGTGTGGGGAAGAAAAAGCAACTTTGAAACTTAAATTGTCAGACTTTTGGGGAGATGAAATGGAGAGGAGGGACAGGATTAAGTACTTACATTTTAAGAATCTAATGTAAGCAATTATGTGAGTCCTGCATTTCACATTAAGTCATACTTGTTTTCTGATTCTGTTTTTCAGTTTCCATAGCAAGGCGTGTACAAGATCCATTAGCTGAGCTAGTGAAAATTGAGCCGAAGCACATTGGAGTTGGAATGTATCAGGTAAAGCAATGTGGATCATTTAATTTATGAAATCCATCAATAATACAAAGAGGACTACTCAAACCTGGCGTAGTAATTAAGTGTCACTGAGAATAGATTCTCATGTTCAAAGGTTACACAGTTTGTGGTAAGGTAGTTAGTTCTAAGTTATTAGGGAAGGAGAGACTTTTTTTTTATTCCCCTCTGGTGTAGGAATTTTGACCAGGGCTTAAAACTGAGTGTAATCAGATTTAAAAACTATTAAAACATTAGGTCAAACTAGTAACTTAATTTGAAACATCTCTTCTTTTAATGTTATTATAAAACTGGAGAGGATATGGAACAAAGGGGACATGCTATCTGTTTTTATAAACAAGTATGAACAGTTAATCTTTGCTGATCTTTCAGGAAGAACCTTTGGTAGCTACTCTCTCTTATGTTTTCTTGTATTTTCCATCCCTATTTGATTATTGTAGTTAATTTTTGGTCATTGCCCAGTATAGCTTAAACCCATCCAATGGTTGTCTTGTGTTGTAGTAGCAATAGTAATAATAGTGGTACTTTTTACTTTTGTTACTGTATTTTAAATTCTTCAGGTTATATATGCTCTTTGGGTAGTTGAGGATAGCCCTAAATCAAGGTAAAATGAATCCATGGAGATAGTAGAAGGGAATGTGGGGCTTAAGTTGTCTCCAGAACGTTTGCATCAAATTTTTTTCTGCTTTGATGAATGTCCTTCTTAAATCTGCAATAGAGTATGATTCTCTTTTTAATTTTCATGGGATTTGGGTAAAGGGTACTCTGCTACTCTTTTTCTAAAGAAATATATTAGATCATGGAATGTAACTCCTAGAAATAGAAGAGATCTTAGAAATCTTGACAATCCTATTCTCTTATTTGACAGAAAAAGAGGCTGTGTTCTACAGTAGTTATGATTCTTACCCAGGATCACACAGTGGCAAAAATTGGACTAAGCTGTCAAATATGGAGACTCAACTGGAAATAGTCCCATTTTAATTGGGCAAGAGACATTCAGACCTTTAGCTGGACTTGTTTATTTGGGGAAGATGGTTGCTAACAGGAATGATCTAGCTACAAGTAAATAGAAAAGCCTGAGATTTGAAGAGTATAACTATAGAGGTTTTATGATACAGGCATTGTAGTAAGGAGCATCTCAGCAAGGCAGTGGGATAAAGAAAAGATTTCGTAGTAATAGAACCCAGGCAAACCCATAAGCTGTTGGCATCAACAAGGACTCTAAGTAAATAGCAGAGACTCAGCCTCTAGATTCAGATTCACAGTAAAAAACTTTTGTAAAAAAGTTGGGATTCATTCTAATAGCAGTGAGAAGTAATGGAAGAGAAAGCAAGGGAGACAAGAAGCAGTTGGGCCAATTAGGAGGGTATTACACTAGCCTGGGTGAGAGGTGGTGGTTCCTTGGGCAAAGTTAATGCCAGTAAAGATGGAAAGAAATGAAGTCTATTTTGTAGGGATTACTTGGTGCTAAGTGAAGGAATGAGAATTGTGAAGAATTTGCCACAAGGGTTCTGATGTATGGATAATGCCTAAGTAGGGTGGATTTGATGTAGTAAGATCATTAATTCAGTTTGGGATATGTTAAGTTTGAGATACTTATAAATAATGCAAATGAAGAGCCAAATAGGAGTTTGCTATTCAAGTCTGAGATGAAGAGAAATAACCATATTAATGTTGGAGGACATACTGCTTAGCAGATAATGAAACTGAGAAAGTGATTAAGATAGTAGACTGAGCCCTTGATAATCTTTAAGTACACTACCCAAACAACAGCATAGCCACAAACTCAAATTCTATGAGATTACAGAAAAGGTATACATGTATGTTTATGCCTAAATAGACGCATATGTATTATTACTACATCGGAAATATCCTTTGAAAACGAGAATGGGTCCCATTAGTGGATGGAAATCTCAGGAATTCCTGAAGGATAATAAATATAAGCAGTCACACCCACAGAAAAGTAAAAATCTGGTAGAGCTAAAACTTACAACATGTACAGATCAATAGTGTTTAAGTGGATGCAGTTTTAGGTAAGTCAAACCAGAGTTACATTCTAGTAATGGGAAGGGGCCCTGTAGTATCACATAAGAAGATGCATGGAAACCTGCTAGGTCCACTGTAACCCCTTCCTTAATAGACCCTGATTTCAGGCCACAGCACTGATTCTAACATTGCCCAACAAAACTTAGAAATACATCAAGAGGCTTTTAATCGTCAGGACTCACGGGGCCTCCTCCTGAGAAGATAAACTCCCAACATACACATGACATGTAGCAGGATGTCCCATATTTCCCACATTTTCTTTATTTTATTTTATTTTTTTAACCTTTATTTAATAAATGTAATTTCCAAAGTACAACTTTTGAATTTTAGTGGCTTTTCCCCCCATAACCTCCCTCCTATCCACAACCATCCCATCTCCCACTCCCTTTCCCATCCCATTCTTGATCATGATTCATTTTCAATTATCTTTATATACAGAAGATCAACTTAGTTTATACTAAATAAAGATTCCAGCAGACTGCACCCACAAAGACACACAAAGTATAGAGTACTGTTTGGGTAGTAGTTTTACCGTTATCGCATAGTACAACACTTTAAAGACAGAGGTCCTACATGGGGAGCAGGTGCACAGTGACTCCCGTTGTTAATTTAACAATTGACACTCTTGTTTATAGTGTCAGTAATCACCCAAGGCTCTTGTCATGAGCTGCCAAGGCTATGGAAGCCTCTTGAGTTCACCAACTCCAGTCTTATTTAGACAAGGCCATATTCAAAGTGGAAGTTCTCTTCTCCCTTCAGAGAAAGGTATTGCCTTCTTTGATAGCCTGTTCTTTCTGCTTGGATCTCATTCACAGAGATCTTTAATTCAGGGTTCTTTTCTTTTGTTTTTGTTTTTCTTTTTTTTTTTTTTTTTTCCCACAGTGTCTTGCTTTTCCATGCCTGCGAAACTCTCATGGGCTTTTTAGCCATATCCGAATGCCTTAAGGCCTGATTCTGAGGCCAGAGTGCTGTTTAGGGTATTTGCCATTCTATGAGTCTGCTGTGTATCCCACTTCCCATGTAGGATCATTCTCCCCTTTTTAATTCTATCAATTATTTGCAGACACTAGTCTTATTTATGTAATCGCTTTGACACTTAAACCTTTTTGATAAATTATGCACTTAAACTGATCACTTTAACAAGTAAGATGGCATTGGTACATGACACCTTGATGGGATTGAATTGGAATCCCCTGGCACATTTCTAGCTCTACCATTAGGGGTAAGTCTGAGTGAGCATGTGCCAAACTGTACATCTCTTCCCTTTCTTATTCCCAATCTTATATTTAACAGGGATCACTTTTCAGTTAAATTTAAATGACTAAGAATAATTGTGTGTTAATTAAAGAGTTTGACCAATGGTATTAAGTAAAACAAAACAATACTAAGAGGAATAAAATAGTAAGTTATTCCTCAACAGTCAGGACAAGGGCTGATCAAGACATTGTTTCTCATAGTATCCATTTCACTCTCTCTCTCTCTTTTTTTTTTTTTTTTACTTTTTGACAGGCAGAGTGGACAAAGAGAGAGAGACAGGGAGAAAGGTCTTGCTTTTGCCTTTGGTTCACCCTCCAATGGCCGCCGCAGCCAAACGCTGCGGCCGGCGCATCGCGCTGATCTGAAGCCAGAGCCAGGTGCTTCTCCTGGTCTCCCATGCGGGTGCAGGGCCCAAGGACTTGGGCCATCCTCCACTGCACTCCCCCATTTCACTTCTACAGGTTCCCTTTTAGGTGCTCAGTTAGTTGTCACCAATCAGGGAGAACATATGATATTTGTCCCTTTGGAACTGGCTTATTTCACTCAGCATGATGTTTTCCAGATTCCTCCATTTTGTTGCAAATGACTGGATTTTTTTTTACTGCTGTATAGTATTCTGTATAGTACATATCCCATAATTTCTTTATCCAGTCTTCTATTGATGAGCATTTAGGTTGATTCCATGTCTTAGCTATTGTGAACTGAGCTGCAATAAACATTAAGGTGCAGACGGCTCTTTCATTTGCCGATTTAATTTCCTATGGGTAAATTCCAAGGAGTGGGATGGCTGGGTTGAATGGTAGGGCTATATTCAGGTTTCTGAGCAATCTCCAGACTGACTTCCATAGTGGCTTTACCAGTTCGCATTCCTACCAACAGTGGGTTAGTGTCCCTTTTTCCCCACATCCTCGCCAGCATCTGTTGTTAGTTGATTTCTGTATGTAAGCCATTCTAACCGGGGTGAGATAAAAGCTCATTGTGGTTTTCATTTCATTTCCCTGATTGCTAGTGATCCTTAACATTGTTTCATGTGTCCAGTGGCCATTTGGATTTCCTCTTTTGAAAAATGTCTATTGAGGTCCTTGGCCCATCTCTTAAGTGGGTTGTTTGTTTTGTTGTTGTAGAGTTTCTTGATCTCTTTGTAGATTCTGGTTATTAATCCTTTATCGGTTGCATAATTTGCAAATATTTTTTCCCATTCTGTCGGTTGCTTCTTCACTTGCCTGTTTCTTTTGCAGTACAGAAACTTCTGAATTTGATGTAATCTCAATAGTTAATTTTGGCTTTGACTGCCTGTGCCTCTGGGGTCTTTTCCAAGAAGTTTTCCTGTGCCTATATCTTGCAGAGTTTCCCCAATGTTCTCTAATAATTTGATGGTGTCAGGTCGTAGATTTAGATCTTTATCCATGTTGGGTGGATTTTTGTATAAGGTATAAGGTAGGGGTCTTGCTTTATGCTTCTGCATGTGGAAATCCAGTTTTCCCAGCACCATTTGTTGAATAGACTGTCCTTGCTCCAGGAATTGGTTTTAGATCCTTGATCAAATATAAGTTGGCTGTAGATGTTTGGATTGATTTCTGGTGTTTCAATTCTGTTCCATTGGTCTATCCATCTGTTTCTGTACCAGTACCATGCTGTTTTGAGAAGATAAACTCCCAACATACACATGACATGTAGCAGGA